GCCTGTAAATTCCCAGCATGACAGAATTTTTATGACAGAACTTCTGCAGGCTTCAGAAAGTGGAAAAAACTTACTGCGGGCACAGTAGAACATCAGCCTCTCTTGCTGCTTCCTTACTCCTTTTTTTAGTTATTATAAAAGGACTGAACCTACCTACCACTCAATGAAGAGTCTGCAATAATAATGCTACCAGTGACAGTTAATGATGAGTATTTCAATTTTTAAAAGGATGATCCTAATGTTTTAATAAAACCTATTTTCCTCTGGGATTTAAAAAAAAAAATTTTAGATTTTTAAAAAACATATCAGAAACTGAACTAAATGAAAGAGTTGAATCTTTAAGAATATCGCAATAAAATTCTATTATAGAGACAAAACTCTAAATTTTTGTCTGAGAGAGACTCCAGACGGGTTTGTATAAGAGCAACTACCTTCTTTCACAGGAATCCTAACACTGCACTACCAAGCAGCATTCCATGAAGGTACAGGGAGGATCATCCAATGTTAAAGTTAAGTTATGAGATTGTGACAGAACATCTTATATCAGAATACTGCTGTATCTATTAAAGAAATATCTTTTACCTTCAGGGGAACAGCAGACATAAGGGAGTATAAATTCCTCGTTGATGCTCTTGCCCTTTTCTTTAAGTGCTTATGACTTGGATGTTTTTATTGTCCTGCACGAGTCTATGCTCTCAGCACTGTGTCCAGTCTACCTTTTTCAGCTTTACAAGCAAGCACGTAGGAGCAAAAAGATAGCATCAAGAAGCAGCTTTTCAGTTCAGTGATACTTTTGCAAACAATCATGCCAGCTTCCATATCACAAGTGATATAGACTTTTCTAGATCACTGTTAGTTTTTAATTTTCCCATGATGATTATAAATGTTTCACTAATGTAAAGAACTGCTTCTGTTGAAAATAGCTGCATCTTAAAAGAAACCATCAAGTGTTAGTAAACAGGGCAACAGTTGGCTTTACTTTGAATGCAATGTTGACTAACTCATCTTTCTCAAGATTTCTCCTTACCTTACTTGCTTTTACATTACAAACTATGATTTCAGAGGATTAGCTATTTTTAAACTTCAATATTGTAGTTATGAATAACAAAAGGAAAAAAATTTACTTTCTATAACCTATAAGTTATTTGACTATTTAGTTGTCGGTAGTGATATAATTTAGCTTTCTGTTATTTAAAGAATGATGCTCCTACCAGATGAGGATGCACTCTAAATACATAAGCTTATTTAAAGATGCCCATAGGGAGTCATAAGTAAGATTATAACTGCTTGTTTAGGTTTTGTTTTTATCCTTTTCCTTTTTAAAAAATAACACATTATAGTTAAGCAGTAGGATTATTTTAATCTTTAATTATTCTGTTTTCTAATACATAGGGAGAACCCCATGGAATGCAAACACTGGAATTCACAAGCTAGCTTTGACATTAATAGAAGCTATTATTATTTGGCCTATCATTTTCTCTGTACTAAATAAATATATTTGATTAACATTTACAGGTCTCCACTGATCACCAATGGGCCACCTACTTTTATCATTTAGCTGAAAAATTGGGAAGAATTTTTTAATTACCTATTTTAAAAATCTCTGGAAGCTATTACAGACAGGGTAAACTGTATGACTTTCCACATTTAGGAAAGCCACCATCCAAACAAAGGAAAATACTGTGACAATGTCAATCTGTTGAGACATCTGGCGATGCCACTGTGTGTGAAGTCACAATAAATGTTTATTGGCAATATGAAAGCTTATTGACATTGATCCTAAAAGCATCTACCAAGTTATCTTAGCGCTCTGCCATAGGCATTTCATTCCAATGAAAGAAGGTGGACATCTAAAGCTGTAGACATAAAACATTATTTAGGAAATATAGACAAGCTATTCTCTGTAACAGAAGATGACAGAAAATGGAAGGAAAACCATAAAACTAACTATGAACTAGAGATCTGGGAATAGTATTTGATGATGGATATTGAAAAGCAGATTAACAGATATTTACATTCTGTACTGTGCCTTTCCTTAAGTTCCAGAAGTCTTTCACAAAAATAAATCCCACTACATTCAGACAAGTATTGTCGTTACCTTTGATTTTTTTTCCCAAATGTACACATTAAGAGTTTAGTAACTCAGTGTCAAAGAACTGGCTAATAACAATCGCAATAACAAAGTATGACTTGTCTCTGAACCACACAGTCCAACTTTGAGGCCTCCCAGTTGCCAACACACAGGTTTCCGCAATGAAAAGATTCCTTTTTCTTTCTTTTCCGACAATTTTTTCTCAACTCAAACTCAGTTATCAAAGGATTGTCTTTCAGACTCAAACTGCTTAAGCAGATAGTACTGTACATATCCAAACATCAAGCCATTCAAAGCCTTACTATTCTCCCAGTGAATTTCAAATGATCATGTCATAAAAAGAATTGTCTTCAAAAGATAGAGGCTTCCTTCAATTCTGCAAGTTAAATGACCACCACACTGATGTACTGAACAGAATCTACAGATTTTGATAATCCTCATTTTGAAAGACAGTAAAGAGGCATCTTCTCTGGTTTACTATTGCTAGTTTTAAATTTTATTTTTGACACGGCCAACTTTCTGATTCCCTATTTACAGGTCTTCCCTGACCACCAATATTCCATCTACTTTTATTATTTGGCTGAAAAATTGGGAAGAATTTTTAAAATTATTTATTTTAAAATCTTCTGAAAGCTATTGTTAATTTTATCCAGATTTTCAAAGCTGATCTTTGTCCTCTTTGTCATTGTCCAAGTGTATGAATCTAAAATAATAAGTGTTACGGTTCCCAGCTGCAGTTCAGTTGTGGAAGTTAGCAGAACGTGCTACCTCTTTTTTGTGCATCATTAGCACTATGTCTAACAAGGAGCTACTTCAAAGGAAGCGTATGTTAGTCAAGAAAGAAAACTTTAATAATAAGAAAAGTCATGTTTTCTTAAAGCATAAAAGTTGCCATGCTCAGCACTAAAACCAGATTTTTATTGTCACAATACAGTTTATCACTTATTGTTGCTGGAAACTGAGAAGTAGGAAGCAGTTTTGTACTTTATGCATGCATGATCTCAAAATTAATCTAATAGCACCATCAGACATTTCAGTTAAAATATTGGCTAGTCCCTAACAAAAACTCATGAATAAGTATCTCATGAAGCTTCTATAATTATTAGATC